CTGCCGTGGAGCCAGCAGCGGTCCCGCGGGGTCTGCGACGTTTGGCAGTGGTAGACCAGAGGGCTCTAGGAGCCCTCTATTAGAGTAAAGGCTAGACCAGAGCGTTTCGTGTTTATTGCTGCGTGGCTCAGCTGAAACAGCCAGCTGTGTACCCTATGCTTTGGAAAGGCCACATGAAAATAGTAAATCAGAGCCAGACTCTCTCTTTTAGTGATAAAGTTCGTCTGTAATATCCTAATGACCCTGGAAACGTCCTCAGAGCCGCATGACGTAGCTCTGAAGTTGTGCATTTGACTCTTACAAAGCCACTGCTTCCTCCGAAACGGAAGCGCAGACAGCGTGGATACTCGAGAGGTGTTTTGTATTCTTGAGTTGTCACAGTAAACTGCTGTCTGTGTTCTTGGAGGAAGCAGGAAACGTGTAAAAACCGGAGTTCAGGCCTGTAGGTGATGATTGGTGTGTGCAATCTTGAACTGCTTGGAGGAGGAGGGTGGGTGATGCTTCTTCACGCAGCACGTCATACAGTCTGTCAGGGCACCACAGGGCAAACCTGCCGTCTGCCAGTTATGTCGTTACGCTAACTCGCTTGGGTAGCCAGATGTTTGAATGCCCTACTGTTTTCTAAGGGAGTTGTAGATTCCTGAAGACCATTTCCCGTTTCAACTAGTCATTACAGGTAGGGATTTACAGATTTTTACAGCAGATCTATGGGATTTTGATCTTTGACCCAATAGAACAAGAAAACTAAATCCCAACCAGTGCAGCAAAGTTTGAGAATCTCTTTTCAACTTCAGTATATCCAGATCAACAGAAACGCTCCTGGATTTCCTGTCGGTCTGGCTGTGGGGCAGCTGCCAGTCTGCTCAAAAGCAGTTGTAAGATTGTTCTGCCCGTGTTCCTACTGTACACAGAGGGCCTCGTTTGCTCAGTGCTTTTCCAAGCTGCTGACCCAAACGCCTGTCTTTGAACACCAGTTTTTAAATTGGCTTCCTAAGAAAGCTGAGCTCCCTATGGATCATTTGTGAGCTTAATCCACTGATGAAACAGCAGTGCTGTACGCGTGCTTTAGAGTAGGCAAAAGGCTTTTGAGCCTGCCAGTCTTCCGAAAGCTGAGTGGCAAGTTGTGAGAACACACACGTCAACTCATTTTTCAAAGGGAGTCCTAGAAAATGCATTCAGACACTGGATGCCACAGGTGCTCAGGTGTTTGGCTTTGTGATCGTGTGTGGTGCCAGTTACCCGAGGTATTTTACTCTTTTAATAACAAGAAGTAAAATTACTTGAAGTACCAGCGTGAGGGTCTGTAGATGCCAACATACTTATTAGATTCTTTCATGAATCATAAACCATGCAAAATATATGATAAGCCTATTAAAACCCACAATGCAGACCTTAAAACTCTTACATTTGCTCGTAGAAATCCCAGTTTGGTGGTAGTCAGTAAACCACCTTGCATTATAAAAGATGGTCTTTTGGCCAGTGAATTTATTTCTTGTCATTTCAGCTCAAGCATCTGCAAAATGGATATAGCTCTGACTTTGTGCAATTGTAATATGAGCCAATAATTAACATTTTTGGGTAGAAAAAGCTGTTCCTGTGATAGTGACTCCTACTCTGCTGTTTAATGGCTGCTGGACACTGGTGGTTTAACTTTCAAAAGGTTTTTGTGCTGCTGGTAGGTCAGGTGTCCTCTCCTTCTGCACGGAAACGCTGCGTCACTGACACGGTCGTTAAATAACGCCTCTCTCGTTTGTGTCTCACTAGGTATTGTGGAAGACTATAAACCACCGTTTTACGACCTGGTTCCAAACGATCCCAGTTTTGAAGACATGAGGAAGGTGGTCTGTGTAGATCAGCAAAGGCCCAACATTCCCAACAGATGGTTCTCAGACCCTGTGAGTGGTGTGCCTGGGGGGGTTGCAGAGGATACGAGCTGACCTTTCTTCTTTTGAAATAAAGTCATGAAAGTTATTTTCTGTTACCACTTGAAATTGCAGTGATCTCAGTGCTCCTTGTCAGGAGCATTACCTGTACAGATTTCAGAAGCATCTGGCATGGACTCTTATGTTGGAGCAGGCAGAGAACACAGTGAGCAAACTTATGACTGTCAAGTCTGAGCTATTCAGGTTAACCTTTTATTAGCATGGTTTAACAATGACTGTTTTAAAGCTGCTCTCTCTGGAGAGAACAAGGAGAAACTTGTTTAAGGGGAAGGTAGTCGGTGTAGGACTTTCTGTGGCTTATAAGCGTGCAGATTCAGAGCGGAATTTTGGTGTCTCTCCTGCCTACAGGATAAAGGACTGGGGTGTTTCTTGAAAGGCTAGTGCTGAAGTTTATTTTTCTGCATCAGAATGAGTCTGGACTCTCTATGTTGACCAGCTGTTTTGTTCCTTATTGCTGAAGCTGTGGAGATCACTTTGAATGTTAATGGCTGGCTTGGGCCAGCAAGGGTGAGAGGTCCCATCTGTAGAGCTGTGACTCTCGGCTGTTTAAAGTTGCACTGGACGTGATGAAATTGCAGTGGAAAATCTATACCTCCCCTGGCTCCCTTCATTGATCTTGCAGGAGTTGGTTTCATTGCAAAGAGATTCTGTGGAGTGTTTACTTAGAAAAAACCCAAAAACTCCCTAGTTTAAAATTATGCTAGCTTGTCACTCCAGTCAGCTCATTGTCTAGTTATTCTCTTGGTTTAACCAACTTACCAAGCTTGGGTTTTTTTCAGCTGTATGTTTGATAGACAGCAGTAAACGCTCTCTGTAGACTCTGAAAATTGAGTATTAATAAGGCAGCAAAGCCTTACTGTGTCGGTGCTTAACTCGATCCAGTGCTTGCTTGGCCCGTGATTCGCGTACTTACGTGCGTGTTTTGTGGCTTTGTTCTTTCCCCAGACATTAACGTCTCTTGCCAAGCTGATGAAAGAATGCTGGTATCAAAACCCATCAGCGAGACTAACAGCCCTGCGAATCAAAAAGACTTTGACCAAAATTGATAATTCCTTAGATAAACTGAAAGCTGACTGTTGACCTTCTTCTCGTGGTGCTCTCCTGACGGGAAGGCATCGGTCTGGTTCGGAAGGAGTCTGGCCGGACAGTTGATACGGTTGGTCCCCATGTGGCTACTCACAGAGGCAGAAGTTCTTCCCGAGCCATCCGTGTGGGACACATCGGAACCCTATGGACTTTGCTCAGTGACTACAACGGGCATTTCGCAAACGGTCAAGCTATAAAGACTCACGCTGGATGTACTGTTGCAAAGGTAGTGGCCTGAAGGAAGACAGAGAAATCCTAAGACAAGATCAGGGCATTAAATAATGGCTTTGAACAGCTTTTTTTCTTTTTTTTTTCTTTTTTTTTTTTTTTTAATTCTCCTAATCACTCCCAGGGTGAACACATGGAAGTGGTAAATTTTAATCAGCAATATTGCCTGTGCTTCTCTTCTTTATTGCACTAGGAATTCTTTGCATTCCTTACTTGCACTGTCACTGTTAATTTTAATGACATGACTTGCCAAAAATATGATTGGCTGTATACTACATTGATCTATGCCTGAGTAATAGGAATTGAATTTGGTAAACTGAAAATGTAACTGTCAGATTTTAGCTGCATTTTACATGTGTACTGATGTTTACAATAATGCTGAACATTAGGAATTTCTCGTTTATACAAAACTTGCAAATTATTTATTACTAGTGCACTTGCCAGTTTTTTAAACTGTAAAATAAGTGCATAAAGTTAAAGCTTATTTTTATGTGGCCTCTTTCATGATTTCTTACACAGATGTTTTTGTAACACTATATAACCTGAAACATAAATTGTTTTCTGTATTATCATATTACAACTCGATAATCACATTTTAAGTGCTTCACATTTGTAGGTGTGTGGTCTGTTAACATATTTTCGGTTCGAATACGGAACATATATATAGCCATTACCCACAGGACCTTGTGTCTAGTACCTTACTGATCTAGAAGAGGGAAGCAACGGAGGAGTTAACTGTAATTTTAGGTCATGAGTGCTGTGGGGAAAAATGCATTTTATTTCTTCTAAGCTATATAATATGCATTTAAACTCTGCCAGAAAAATAACTATTTTGTTTTAATCTACTTTTTCTATTTAGTAGTTATTTGTATAAATTAAATAGAATGTTTTCAAGTCAAACTAGAGTGGTTTAGTTCTCTTACTGCCTGTTAGTAGCGAAGGGGCACTGCTGCAGCAGCGGGTGCCTCCAGTCGTGCGCTCGCAGGTGACCAGAGTGGGCCCAGGTCAAGGCTGGGTGGGACACCAAGGTACTGAGGCTCTCAGCAGTTGTCGGGGTGTGTTTTTCCTGTGCTGAATGGCATCCCAAAATAGTACAGCAGGAAACTGGCATCAGCCATGTCCGTGCAAACCTCCTGGAGCGTGTCTTGCAGAAGGAGGTGCCTTATCCCTGTGCCTCATGGGGAAGAATTCTGCTTTGTACCCAGAGAACTGTTTTCTCTGCCTGTACCTCTTGATACTCTCATGGGTTTTGTTATGCCAAATGGAAGAGTAACTGGGAAGTGACGGTGCCCTTTCATCCTTGGAGAAGAACTCCTTTATTCATGGACTTGAAATCCTCCCGGTGGTCTAAGGACCTGGGTAGTAACTAGCCACTGGGACATGATTCCTGTCTGGGTTAAAGAATTTCTCCGAGCTTTCCTTCTGTGCTTTGGCTGCCAGACTCTGCTCTCCTGCAGCTTCTCCGTAGTTTTTCTGTCGCAGCCCCAGTCTTCCTTGTCCCGCTCCAGCCAAGCGACATGCCTTTCTTTTCCTGCATTTCTAGTGTAGAAATAGCAGCTCAGTTTGCAGGGGGGGTAATGCGTGGGGCTGAGGCTCTGCAGAGCCGACTGAACTGGTCCCGTCTCTTAATTACACTTGATAAGAATCTGAACAGATACAGTACTGCAAAAAATATAGGAAAAGCAGGATCTGATTAGTTTTTATTGCTAGTTTTTAATAGGAGGTCAAAGGCTCAGTTGCCTGAACACGTCCCGGTTTGCTTTAAACTGGTTTGTGCGCGTGGGGTGTGCTGGGCTGACTGGTAAATAACTGAGCCCAGGAGGGACAGTGAATCAGTCTGTTGGACTGAAGATGCTGCGTGAATGGAAGTGACTGGTGACAGTTACAGCTGCAGAAGGAGGAGCTGTGTTAGTGGTGGCTTTTTGGTACAGTGTTGCCTCCAGTTCTGCAGTTCCAGGCGCTGGTGCACACACACGGATGGTTTTCACATGCATTCATGTGATGGAACAGGCATCAGTATTCAGAAGAAATGGGAAGTGAGGCATCCTGCTTGCGGTGGTGCCGGGCGGCTGCGGTGCTCCGGGTATGTCCAGCTGTCCCCGGCTGTGCGGTGGAGCTGAGAGGGGAGGCGGCTCTGCAGAAACGGGGGCAGAGCCAGAGGCGGAGGTTCAATGTGCAACGTGAGTTTGAAGTGGCTGGTCAGTTGTGGGTTTTCTTACTTTGAGTTTTCCCATCTCTGGCGTTTTCCAGTGCAGGTGTTGGAGGAGAGGGATAACCTGTCCTGCTCACACAGCTGTCGTGTTGGCTGAATTTGCGGTGCCTTTCTCAAACGCCAACATGCTAAGTGGCAGCATCTGACAGTTACTGGGGAAGGTGGTCGTGTTAAACGCTTGATCCGTCTCTTCTTTGCGCTGTAGCATCCTCTGAAAAGTGCGGCGTACGCAGAAGAACGACAGGACTCCAGGTTGGAATCAGCTCTGTACGCTCCATAGCGCTTTCCTCTGCTGGCTCTGAAGATCTGAATTCTGGAATGGCAGCAGCGGGGGCGGGGGC